GGAAGGGAATTTGGGTTATGTATAGTTCCAGGCTGGCCTCAAACTCACTGTGTAGCTCCGATTGGCCTTAAACTTGAGATCCTCCCACTTCAACTTCTCAAGTGCTGGCAGTAGTGGCAGGTTATGTGCACCACATCCAGCCTGAGAATTTAGGTGTTTAAAATTAGTCTTTCAACAAGTATTAAAAAAACCCAGAACTTTGGTGTTTTTTTAGGGGGGTGCCGGGGACTGAACTCAGGACCTTGCACTTGTGAGGCAGGTGGCAGCACCACTGAGCTAAATCCCCAGCCCTAATGTATTGCTTCTATAAAAATTTTTTTCAAAATTTCATTTTAGAAAATCCTAAGGCTGGCCAGGGATTTAGCTCAGTGGTTTTGCCACCTGCTGCGCAAGCGCAAGGACCCGAGTTCAATCCCCAGTACAAAATAAATAAATAAATAAAAATCTAGTTTTAAAAAAAAAAGAAAGAAAGAAAATCCTAAGGCTGAAGCATTAGTATCACCATGAGTTTGAGGCCAGCCTGGGCTACATAGTGAGACACTCTAAAACAAAGCAAAACAAAACAAAACAAGAAGTTAAGTGCTAGAGAAGGGATAGGAACAAACAAGAACAAAGACTGCCCACACTATTGTATGTCTATTTTTCCTTCAATTAGAGTATGCCACTTTATTCACATTCTATTAACCCTAGGGTTGGTAATGACAATACAGTCCAATCCAGAGTTCTTTTTTTTTTTTTGGTACTGGGGATCGAACTCAGGACCTTGTGCTTGCAAGGCAGGCAGTGGCACTGAGCTAAATCCCCTGCCCTAATCCACAGTTCTTTCTCCAGTTTTGTGTTCTACTGATTTGCATCCTTTTTTTTTTTTTTTTTGGTACCGGGATCGAACTTGGGTCCTTCCACTTGCGAGGCAGGAGGTGAAACCATTGAGCTAAATCCCCAGCCCATGATTTGCATTCTTATATGTAATGCCTGGTAGGATTCTGTCTTTACATTGTCCTCCCAACTCATAAAGTGATAACATAAAGGCAGCATGTTCTCTATTTGCTTTTTAATTACTATCATTATAAGATAGTAATCAAACCCTCTAATTTGCTAACCTTACTGCTTTTTCTTCCCCTAATCCGAGAAGCCCTCTTCTTTCTTATTCAGATTTGAGTTTACAGTTCTTCATCCCAACAGCACTTGATAACACCTCTGGACAATATTTCTGGTGTAAATGCCACTCTGGAGGCGCCCAGGATCCATATTTTACCACCTGCCTTGAACAATTCAAGTGTTGCTTCAGAATGTTACACAGCAGGACTAGTTAGGATCTATAAATTCATGAATATCAATAACAAAGGTGACCTCCAATCAAGTCTAGAATCCTACTCGGTTTCTGTGGTCAACTTACTCTCCTCTTTACAACTATTTCAAACATTTGCTATGATCTTCAAACTACCAAATCACCTACATTCTCCTCTAATCCTAATAAAAGACTTTGTATCATTCTTTGGAGAAAAAAAAGGAGCTGTCATATGGGAACTCTCTAAACTTCATTATTATATCTACAAACCGTCTTCATCTATAGCTTTCTTATCCATCTTCTTTATCTCTCCTTCTGTTCCTTTTTCCATCTAAGACCCACTCCAATCTCTACATTTTAAAATCTCATCCTACTTTTCTTAGAAACTGGATATTCTTTTTTCTCAGAAACTTGATATTCTTTATCATAACTGATGCTCTGTTTTCTGTACATTCAAAATGTTCTTGAGTGAATTACCTTTCAAACTTTCTTGGGCTTCTCCCATATTAATCTCACTGTCTATAGTGACTAATACGACAAAAGGTTAAACTGGTCATTGACATCTACTAAAGAGACCAACAAAACATGGGGGAAATGATTTCTGAAACATGTCTGATCATGTCACTTCTCAGTTAAAACTCACATTTTAACACCTCTCATAAAACTCCATGATCCTACCAACCACAAGGTCTTCATTTGCTGTTGTTTTGTTTTTTTGTTTTTGGGGGGTTTTTTTTGAGACAAGGTCTTGCTATGCAGTTCAGGCTGGCCTCAGACTTGCAGTTATCCTCCTGCCTCAGCCTCCTGAGTGCTGGGATTACAGGTGTGTGCTACCACTGCCTGGGTCTTTTTATCTGGAATATCCTTCCTTACTTTAACATAGTAATTAATAGTATATACATTTAAGCCAGACCCCCTGGGTTCAAATGCCATTTCTGCCACTTATTACCTGTGTGACTTCAGTTCATTCATTTGTACAACAGGGATGGCAACAGTGCCTTCCTTATAAGGGTGTGGGGAGGATAAATTAGTTATTATGTATGAACTGCTTAGATGAGCACCTGGTACACACTAAATGTTCTATGTCTGCTGAATAAATAAACAAAACTAAGATGTACTGGAGCATAATAGGGACTCAGATTCTGAAGCCAGATTGTGTGTGTGTGTGAACTTTGACTCTAAGAATCATGATCTTTTATTCTTTTTGTTTTGAGAAAAAGCCTTGCTATGTAGTTCAGGGTGGCCTTGAACTCACTATGTAGCCCAGGCTGGCCTCAAAATCCCAGTGATCCTTTTGCCTCAGCCTCCAGAGTGCTGGGATTATAGGTGTGCACCACCATGCCCAGCTTGGCTCAAAGAATTATATACTGTAAGACCTTGAGCACATTACTTAACTGCTCAGTTTCCTCATCTGAAAACAGAATAACAACGCCTACCTTACAGGTCTATTATGGGGATTAATGAGTTAATATAGAAAGGGGTTAGAAAAATACTAAGATCACAGCAAACATTATATAATAACAACTATTACTATTATTTTCCAGTTATCATCTCAATGATAACTTCTTCACATATCATTTTCCTCAAGCTATCAGGCTTGGCCAGGATCTTTTCATTTGTATCCACAGCAATTCCTTCAGAATACTTCAGTTTCTAATGACAAACTATTTACTTATTTATTTAGTGACTTAATAACTTCTAATTGTCTCACTAGACTGTAAGTTCCACATAAGACGAGATTAAGATGAATCCTGCCACTTTGTAGACACTCTCCAACGCTGAGTTTTAAAAAAAGAAATGTCTAACTAAAATCTAGTTCTGAAAGATTTTATATTCTTTTTTTTTTTTGTACCAGGGATCGAACTTAGGACCTTGGGCTTGCAAGGCAGGCACAGTGCCACTGAGCTAAATCCCCAGCCCAAGATTTTATATTCTATTTGAAAATTACTAGCTGAGTATGGTGGCACATGCCTGTAGTCCCAGCACTCAGAAGGCTGAGGCAGGAGGATTTCTGTCAGTTCGAGGCCAGCCAGAACTACATAGCAAGATCCTGACTCAAAAAACCAAAGGATGGAAAAAAGAAAGAAAGAGAGAGAAAATAATTTGAAATATCTTATTTCCAAGTAACATATTATCAAGTGATAATGATTTTCAGATTTGGGGACATAAGCAGGGTTTATGGATTATAAACTAATATATATGAGTTTTTAGAAGTTTATGTTTAATAACTTATTGTTTCTCTGGTGTGAAAAACCTCTGAGGTGAAAGTGGAAATAAGGACTTTTTAATGTATAACAGATATTGGGAAATGGGAAGAAAATGTTCAAATGGGAAGGAAGGGATAAGAAAAATGAAAATAGAAGGATAAAATGGAAACAAAAGCTTTTGTACATGGGGAGAAAGGGGCTTGAGAGGAGGGGAGAATAGGAAAAAAGAGGTGGGATGTATCATGTACAGGTGCAAATTCCCTATGATGAGTGTTATCATTATGTATGCCTAAAATGTACCAATAGGGCCAGGGATTTAGCTCAGTGGTGTTGCGCCTGCCTCCAAGCACCAGGTCCTGAGTTCGAGCCCTGGTATCAAAAAAAAAAAAGTACCAATAAATGTTTTGTTATTTAAAACAAAATAAATAAAAGTTTATGTTTAAAAGTTTAAAAATAGGGCCAGGGATTTAGCTCAGTGGTTCCGGCACCTGCCTCATAAGCAGAAGGACCCAAGTTCGATCCCTGGTACCAAAAAAAAAAAAAAAAAAGTTAAAAAATATATGACAAATGAATAACCATTAATTACCAGCTCCCTCTCAAATGCAAGTATCTGGGCTGGTATGGTGGTATATGCTTATAATTTCAGCACTCTGATGCAGGAGGATTGGAAGTTCAAGCCTAGCTTGGGCAACTTGGCAAGACACTGTCTCAAAATTTAAACAAAAGGCTGGGGATGTAGCTCAGTATAAAGGCCCCAAGTTCAACCCCAGTTCCCCCACCCACGATACACAATTGCTGCAAGAAGAGGTATGGATACCTCTTTTTTTAGTATGTAGCTATAAAACCAGGAACTCTGGCATTAATTTTATATCCTCCACAGCCTATAATATGGTACATCTACTGCTTGTGCAATGGAATTCCAGTAAGAGGGCTTTCTTTTTTGTAGTTCCTTGAAATATTCTACCACTCAGCTACATCCCCAGCCCTAAGATTTTTTTTTTGGCTGAGTGGGCATGGTTAAGATGAAAACACTTACAAAGTGGTCATGCTGCCTTTCTGCAGGGATAAGGGTACAAGTGCAGTTCACAAGCCAGGAGAAAGTGCTGGGGATTTAGCTCAGTGGTTCCACCGCCTGCCTCACAAGCACAAGGACCCGAGTTCAATCCCTGGTCCCCCCAAAACAAATAAACAAACAAAAAAACATGGCACAACCCAGGAGCACACAAATACAAATACTTGCTCTTCCTAAAATGCTGATGATTCCTGACACCTTCTGAAAAGACTTCAAAGCTATATTCCATCTTCTAATTTCCTCAAAATAAATCACTACAAAGTAATAACTGATGGCATATGTAATATTTAAAGTCAATACAATTTTATATTAAGCATATTGGTATTTGTATCGATTATAATCATCTACCTTAAGCATTCTAATATAGGACTCACAGAATAACTTTTTATTCATGAAAGAAAACTCTACAGTAAATCATCACAACAACTCGTACCTGGTGTGTAAGTAAAACGTTGAGACTGGCTTTTTTTCCTCTTGCCATTGCAAAGATAAAAGTGCACCTGCACTGCAGCTGTAACTGCTGGGTTATGATAGGGAGGAACTTCAAGGACAATGTGAACCTAAGGAACAGGGAAAGAAAGATTGTGTTACACTCAGAACTAAAAATGAAATGCACCTGTTAAACTCAGAGAAACTCATGAGCCTTAACTACAAGGCTCTCCCATCATATGTATATCCACTGGTCAATAAGTCATCTGGAGATTTACTATACATACAGATATTTCAGAGCTGACAGAGACAAACTCTTTAATCATTAAAAGAAAAACTACTTTTTTTGTTTTGAGATCAGGCCTCACTCTGTTGCTCAGGCTGAACTCAAGCAGTGAGCTCAAGTGATCTTCCAACTTGAGCCTCTCCCCCAAAGTTGGGACTGCTGGCATGCACTATCATGCCCACCTAAGAAATTGCTTTTTATGCCAGGGATTTAGCTCAGTGGTTCCGGTGCCTGCGTCGCAAGCGCAAGGTACCGGGTTCAATCCGTGGTACAAAAAAAAAAGAATTGCTTTTTACTTATCCAACTGAGTTGCTAGTTGTAGCAGAAATAAAAGGCATGTCACACAATATATAGCAATGTAGCAAAATACTTTACTGAATAAGTTACTATATATCTTTTTTTTTTTTTTTTTTTGGTTTTTTGAGGCAGGGTCACCTTTTGTAGCCCAGGCTGGCCTTGAACTCACCGTGATCCTCCAGCCTCAACCTCCCAGTACTGGGATTACAAGTGTGCGCCACCACACCCGGCTTAAATTACTATATATTTTAACAGGAAGTCCATTCTGGTTTTTAATCATGTTTACTATTTCTCATACAGCATCATGGTTTAGATTTCCTATCATAATCTTTATATTGAAAATATTCTATATATTCTAAATTCACATTACACAAAATCTATATCCATATTAGCTCAGCCAGTGTCGCATGCTTGTAATCCCAGCTACTTAGAAGGCTGAGACAGGGGGCCAGGGATTTGTTCAGTGGTGTCACCGCCTGTCGCGCAAGTGCAAGGTCCTGAGTTTGATTCCTGTTAGCAAAAAAAAAAAAAAAAAAAGGCTGAGGCAGCAAGATATGGCAAGTTGGAACCCAGCTGGGGAACTTGGTGAGAACCTGTCTCACAAAACATAAAAAAGAAGCCTGGCGTGGTGGAGCACACCTGTAATACCAGCACTCAGTAGACTGAGGCAGGAGGATAGTCACAAGTTCAAGGCCAGCCTGGGATACATAGAGTTCAAGGTCAGCCCAAACTACATAGTGAGACCCATCTCAAAAAAAAGAACAACAACAAAAAACCATAAAAAAGGATGAGGAATGTAGTTTAGAGGTAGTGTCCCTGGATTTAATCCTCAGTACCACAAAAAAACTTATGGAGGGAAGGGTGAAAATCTTTAAGCACACACTAAATACAACCTTCAACCTAAATGCTATGAGTCTACCAAGCACTGAAATGAAATGGTATTTCCTATCTCAGAGGAGACTTTATCTCCATTCCAAAGAAAATAAGGGACCACAGCTTTCAGCGTGGAATTCTGAAAGGCTTAATAAGGTATCTGAGGACTTAGGAATAGTGTATGTTAAATATACAAATCTCTATTTTCCTATTTTTTGGCTACTGTGTTTGTTTTTTATTGAATGTTTTGATTTCTTTACTGAATTCAGATAAATAAATTAATGGTAAAATAATCTATAATTTTTATTTCATTTCTAACTTCTCTTTTTCTTTTTCCAGTAGTGGGGACTGAACCCAGAGATTCTGCACTGAGCTAAATCCTCAGACCTTTTTTATTTTTTATTCTGCGCCAAGGTCTCACTAAGTTGCTAAACTGCTTAGGCTGGACACAAACATGTGAGCCTCCTGCCTCAGCCTCTCAGAGAGCTGGGATTACACATATGTGCTACAAATCTGACAAATTTTTCCTAATATATAAAAAAGAAAAGAAAGAAACAGATTATTTTTCCTAAACTTTAATTTTAATACCAGAAGTGTGTTAGTTTCAAACTTCTAAAAATTCTAATTTATATTTTTACTACTCAATATCCTCATCTATGCCATAAATCACCATTATTCCATTTTCTCATAAGATTCTTACATATTTCTTAAGAATTAAGGCAAGAGCTGGGGATGTAGCTCAGTGGCGCTGTGCCTGCCTGGCAAATGCAAGGTCCTAAGTTCGATCCCTAGTATCAAACAAAAAGAAAAGGCAAATTTCTTACCCCTTGACATTTTTCTCTGATTATTTTTCCTTCTACCTCCCACTGAGGTCGTCCATCTGTTGAAAGGAACAATGTACAGTTAAAAGCAATTTAAGTCAGAAAGCATACAAACAAAATCTCATGCATATAGTATCACATTTAAGGCAAAGAGAATCTTTTTCTCACTGATTTCCAATATGAAAAGAAAGTGTAACCATGGAGAAAAATAGGGATACAGACGTTAGGCCAACTGGCTTATAAGACTCCACAGAGTTTACTCTACCCCTCTATCATGAAAGTCCTCTGAGAGCAGCCCACCAAGTGGTGACCAACCAACTTGTGCACCTCAAGTGATGGGAAGTTTGCTCCCTCACCAAGTAATCCATTCCATCTTTGGAAAAGAATTGCTGCTCTGTCACATGTTCAAAGGAAGATGAAACTACTCAAAACAGACATGTAGGAACAGTGAAAAAAGATGAGATACTTATGTAACTTACTTTGACATTCAGAAATATATCAAGATTTCTAAGTCAGTAAAAAAATGAAAAACTAACATGATGCAAAAAATAGGCAACAACATGAAATAGGAAACACAAAAAGCCCATAAAAACAAGATAAAAGGAATATTCACACCCAAAGTTTAAGATTCCATTTTACCTCTATTAGACTAACAAAATGCAAAAATTATGATGTTCTTGCCTATGTCTACCAGGTGATAAGAAGAACCAGAACACTCATCGCAGCATTATTAGCTACTGTTCAGCAGTGCCAAAACTTGGGACATAACTCAATGTCTAGTAAGGAAAGGACAATAAAATAAAATGTGGTACATATTCATACAGTAAAAAACTACATAGTAGTGAATGTGAAAGTTTCAGTTACATGGATTAATGTGGATCAATGTTTAAACATTTAATGTTGACTTGTAAAAAAAGCAATTTTTAGAAAAAAATACATGTCATATTATAGACAATCCCCAAACAGGAAAAAACTATATAAACTAGAACTATAAAGAAAAGCAAGGGATCTGTTTGAGAAGGGTCAACAAGAAGTCTTTAAATTGTATTTCTTAAACTGGGAAGTATGTTTAAGTATCTGCTTATATTATTCTTTTTTTTTTGGTACCAGGGATTGAACTCAGGTCCTTGCGCTTGCTTGCTTAGCAGGCGGCGAAACCACTGAACTAAATCCCCGGCCCTGCTTATATTATTCTTGTAAAAATGATAGTCAACTATTTTAAATATTTAAAAGATGAGAAAGAACAAGATAGAACTTTTTTTTTTTGGTACCAGGGATTGAACTCAGGTCCTTGCGCTTGCTTGCTTAGCAGGCGGCGAAACCACTGAACTAAATCCCCGGCCCTGCTTATATTATTCTTGTAAAAATGATAGTCAACTATTTTAAATATTTAAAAGATGAGAAAGAACAAGATAGAACTTTTTTTTTTTGGTACCAGGGATCAAACTCAGGACCTTGGGCTTGCAAGGCAGGTGTGCTGCCACTGAGCTAAATCCCCAGCCCTAGAAATGTTTTAAATATGTTTAAGAAGGAATAAAATCAAACACTGATGAACATGAAATTCTTTTACCTTTTCAAAAGGTCTGATATAACGCATATACTATAAATTTCATCGTTTTAAACAATATAATGCAAACCAGGTGTGGTAACGCGTGCCTGTTGCCTGTAATCCAAACACTCTGGAAGGCTGAGATAGGATGATCACAAGTATAAGCTCAGACTGGGCAATTTAATACCTTAGTGTGACACTGGTCCAAGACAAAAAACTAAAAAAGGGCTGGAAATGTAGCTCAGTGTGAAGGGTCTTAGGTTCAAGCCTCAGTACCACACACACAAAAAGAATAAATAAATAAAACATACAAGGCAGAGTTTGTTAGTATATTCACAGTTATACAATAATCACCACTAATTGCAGATAATTTCCCCTAACTTCAAAAGAAACACTGTATCAGCAGTTACTTCAATTAACACCTCCCTCCAACCACTGGCAACCATAATCTATTTTCTATTTCTGTAGATTGCTTATTGTGGGCATTTTATGTAAATGGAACCATATAATACATGGCGTGTGTGTGTGTGTGTGTGTGTGTGTGTGTGT